ACAGGGGAAATACAGGGTTTTTATTGTGGCTTGCAAGTTACTGTTAGGTATTACTTGTATTTTTCAACAAACAGTCATAGCAAAGTATAAGTTCTCCTTGACCTATGAAGATACTTGTAAACCTGCAATACAACAAATAAAAATAAGTGGTATACCATCATTAGTACAAGCTATTTCTAACATTGTTACAAAGAAACTTAAAACAGGTATTATTCACTACGAAATGCAATATTTGTCTTGCTCATCTAACATGGAACTTCATCAAATCAGACACATGCAAAAGCACAGACGAAAATATAGATATGATAATTTGGAACCTGCTCCAAAAATAAAAGACTGCAACAGATATGTTTTAGAAACAAAATCAAATTCAAAGTTAGACAACAGCACAAGAGTGGGACAATCCCAACTATTGATATCTGCATTAATTAATTCAAAGAGAAAATCAGGGAAGGTCCTTACTGGTATGTTGTGTATACAATGTTTTCATGATGAAATATACTTCCTTGCTTTCAGACCATTATGATTATGATTTCATAATATATCTTTTTTAATACACGCATCAATTGTCATGTTCTTATCACCCTTGGGTAGGGGGACTCCTTAAATAAAAAGGACTGGGGTGCTTGTTGTACCTTTTAGGGGTTCAAAAAGGTGGGCTTGTTACCCCTTAGGCTGTTGAGGCTCAAAAGGTCCACAGCAGCAGCTCCTGTGATACCTTTTAGGGATTGCACCAAAAATATGTGACAGTGCATTATTGTAGAATTGGTGTCTTTTGGAGATGAAAAAAATTTTATGCGACACCCACAAACTAGGACCTTGGTACCTCTTAGTATTTCTTTTAGAACCTCTGTGCACCATGAATGGTCAACACTCATAACAGCACGTCCCCCGGTAGCCCGACTTACGATCTTGGATCATCTTGTTTTAGCTTTAAAGTGCTGCGCTGCGACACTGATGATAATGATAATGATAATGACCGCTAATACGGTGGGTGGCATTTTCTTGGTGATATATATCAATATTTGATGAGGTAACGAAGACCCGAACAGATGACGTTCACCGTGGGCAATTTTTCCTTGACAAGTTTCTCGTTCCTATGAACAAGTCTTTGCACGAAAGTCTTTTTTTAAGAGTGTGGCAAAGGATACTCAACTAACGTGACGAGTGGATTTGACAGAGACTGGGTATGGTGAGAATCAAAGTTTTCCCTTTTAAATTCGCTACGCATGAAGTATTGTTTAGAGTACACGTGAAGCATACATTTTTCTAGAATTTGTGTGAGTCGGGATCAGGAGCCCCCTTTCCACCCTCTCTTTGGAACACATTCTTAAGGCTTCAACCATTCATAATTTTCTGTGAAGTAATTAACATATATTAGAAGGCATTATCTAACTAGTCGGTAACTGGTCAGCAATGGGGTGTTATGTTAACTTAGAACCAGATGTATAGCTGCCAAAATAAAGTGAGATCTTTAGGGTCAAGGGTCAAGAGGTTTGGCTTTTAACCACAACCCTTAAGTGCAGGCCGACATTCAAAAAACATAAAACAAAAATACACAAACATTCTGAGAACAACAAACACTAACTGTCAAAAATTTATTGACCTCTGAAACTCTACATAACAAGATTTCAAGATAATTTAAGAAAGAATAACTTAATGGTAATAATAATAGTAATAATTTTATACAACTATCACACATTGGAATTAACATATCCTGAACACCTCTTTAAATTAGTCATAAAACAATTTTAAGGTATTTATTACCCTAATTGAATTAGAAATACTCTTTCTTGGTCTAGAGAATAGTAAAGGCTCGCCAAAATTGGAACAACAATTGCTTTTCAGGAGTGGGATACACTAAAGTTGCTAAATTAAGAGGTATTAATACTGCATTATCCGTTTGCAGTAATGAACTAAGAAAAAAATGCTAAGGAACTATGTCATCTTTTGAATGATGTAAATAGTTCAAATTTCCTTATGAAAAGTGGTCAGTGAATAACTTTCACTGAGTGTTTTATGCACAACCCCTTCAATACACACACACATTCCAGAAGAAACTTTGAACAATTTACAATGAACTTTGACAACTCCAGTTATGAAATTGATGCCCTGAAATGTGATCAGTGACCAAATTCTCCCTGACAGAAAACTAATGACCTTCATGGTGACAGTTAATAGAATTCATTTTCTGACACTGTTAAAAAAGATATCAGATACACACTACAAAAATATTCTCAACCTTGACAATTATAAACATATCTAGAAAGTATATGATAAAATATTTCCTAACATATCACACATTTTCTAACCAGACATGGGGAATTCCTGTACCTGTGTGCAGCTGGCATGGAGACAGTTGGAATTATGCTTCAGAACAGCTGAAGTCCAAATACCAGTATATCGAAAACTAAATATCTCATCATGACTGTTCAACACTTCATATGGTGTTTTATTCCAACCTGTAAATATGTCCCTCTTCAAGAGGTTTCAAAAAGTACACACAACCTAAGACTTGTTGCTGCATAACTTGAAAATAAAGAAGCAAAACGAAGGCAAAAAAGGACAAAGCTTCTTTTTGAATTCAAGATAAATGGTAAGATCCAGTGTCTTAAGGCCAACAAAAACTGGTATGAACTGACCTCAATCCCTTATATTAAGTGAAAGTTTTTTTTAAAACGTATTGCTGGATAGCCTACAACTGAATAATTATAATAAAGAAAGAACTGATCAGAGGCCAGTTCAATTGAGTGCTACAAAACCAAAACTAGAATCAGAGAAATCGCAACAACCAATCCGAACAAAGGGGAATATCCCCAGGAGCCAATGAGAACTCAGAGTGAAAACAAGCAAACTGCTCACAGCATGGGTAAAAGAGAGCAACCCAGCAGCCATTGGTTTTCATTTCCAAATCCGACTGGTTGAGAAAGTTGTATAGGTTTTCCGGACCAATCAAAAAAGCAAAGGAAAGCAAAAGAAAAGCAATCCCATTCTAATTTTGACAGTTAATTTCATATTTCCTTAAATATTTTCCTAGCTGAAGTCTTTAACCCCTGAGTTCTGGAAGCTTAATTCCACATCTGAAGTCAGTAGGTTAGCTAGTCCCCAGAACATGATGTTTACCCAAAAATATCCCCTGAATGATTGTTTCCTGAATTCTCATTACTGTTCTATAACACTATGTATAAAAATTGCAAGGAGAATTGAAGTACTGATCACTCCTGTCTTTGAAATGTTAACATAATTGAAAATTGCTTAGCATCAAACACAAGCAGGTACTTATTTTACGCCAAATTGGGAAGTCAAAATAAATAACAAATGAATAATTTAATTTATCAATAACATTATTAATGACTTGCTTTATAAACTTCTACAAAACGTTAACAACAAAAAAATCTAAGTTCATCAATGATCCTCAAAAAGAAATTAAAGTACAAAAAATATGAGGATCTTGTAAAAAGTAAGTGAACTTCAATTTATTCACAAACATGTCATTCACAATTCTTGGCTTTCAAATATATATGAAACCTAATCTAAATAAGCCATATTACTGAATGAACAAAACCAAACAAATAAATAAAACTTGCCATTACCTTCAATTTACTCTCTCTAACCATAATTTAAAGTTCAGTCTACATAAAGTTATTAAATACCTTTTTTTCTCATTTGTGTATCATTAAATTTTACACCAAACACTGGTGTTCATTGTACAAAGGAGGCAACAACGCCTCCAACTCATCTGCCGAGCGGTAGAGAAAGGCTGCTGACTCCCTGTATCCCGCTATCAGTTGGCGGATGGCTTGAACTTCTGTGGCACTGATCTGGCACTGTGTCAGTACTTTTGGCTTGGGAAGGGTTGGCCCGCCATTTTCTGTAATGACACACAATAATATCAATAACAAATACAAATATTTACATCTCCCAAGTTAGCCATTTGAGAAAATACCTTCGTACCTGCATGTAATTCACAATTTTAATAAAGTGACCCAGCAAACCAATATTATCTTTGGTGATGTACATTCTATCATTAAGTGAGAGGTCTTCAACTGATTTGTAGTCAAGTTATTTTTTTTATTTCATTCTTTATTTTTTACTGAATCACCATTATTTTTATCATCATAGCTGTTTTTTTTTTTTATCATCAAAAACTATTATTTCATTATTTGTGAAAGAGTCTATCTCAAGCTTAGTCAATTTTGATAATATTTGGTTTTGCCAGGAGGCCAGGAATTGCCTTCAGGCATCATACTTTGTTCTAAGACTTCAAAACTTATAGTTACAACAAAGGCTTTACAAATTTACTCAATTATGCAATCATATAAAATTCATTTGTAGATGACATTTTCTTTTTTGGTTACATGAAAAAGTATTGATTGCTACTACATCATCAAGAAGGTCCAACAACCCATTGGATTTGATCTCCATACCTGCAGGCCTGTCATTAGTTCTTGTGTTAGCAGTGCTATTCTGTGGCATGTGGGATGCTGCAGGGGAAGATGAAGGAACAGTTCCTGTATTACCAGCTGCATCACTATCAGTAGTAACAAGCCGTGCATTCTCTTGCTCGTTAGCACAAGCTGATGCCAGGATATTCTATAAACAAAGAGATTAATGCACAAGTTTAGGCACAATATCACTTGAAACTAGCTAATGTTCAAATCCTCAAAAGAGAACTCATTTTTTCTTCATGCCACACTTGTGACAAATGTGTACCATCTTACTCATTTCACATAGCTCAAAATTCACCACCTCCCTTCGCTACTAAAAATGATATACCCTTCCTAAATTACTGATTTCAGTAATGTGTTGTGCATATTTGCTTTAATCATGTTCCTAATTAGCACATATAGCTGAAGTATATTGACAATTGTATAAAGTTTGTTATCATATATAGAGTAGAGAACTTGGACTCAGGAGTGAAAATGATGTAGTGTGACCTTCTAAGGGTGAACATGGTCCTTGAAAAGTATTGTTGCTTGTCACAACATGATGACAATGATGATGACAATGATGGTGATGGTGTCCCTTCATTTTTAGGAAATATCAGCCAGTCAGTGTCACAGACAACAAAATTTTTTTTAGGATAACACTAAACAATCAGTGGTATGTGTCAGAAAAGTATGATGAATAGAAAAAACAAATTGCATAAAAATTTTTTTGTAATAGAAAATATATTATTTAAATAATTTCTCCAGTGAAGTTTGAATAATTATGAAGCTTGAACAATACTCTAATCACAGCAAGTCTCTTTTTGTTTTCTTTGTTTCATGTTCATGCTTAATGTCTTTCTTCTTGCTGTAACAAACATTGACATAATTTGTTATAGCAAACTTACATTCACCTCAGCCATCTGAGCTGCTGACATGTTGGGATTTGAACTCTGTGAGAACAAAAAAAGGAATGTAATGAGCAAAAGCCTCTTGGTAAACTTCACTGGAGAAATTTTTTTAAGCGTCTTTTCAGCTATTCAAAATTTTTTTTTTGGCAAATACCACTGACTGCATGGTGTGATCATCCTAGTGAAAATAAAATTTTTGTCAATGACAGTGACCCACTGATATTTCCAAACAAAAATAGTGGAAGCCACAAAAGCTACAAAATATAACACCAGCAGGAAAGAGTAAAACTAGAGAAGCAATGATCAACCAAGAAGGAACAAGAATGGCTAAAGATGGAGAAGATTGAATACAATAATTAAAAAAAAATTGAAAAATTTAGGTTTGACTTTTCAAGATGCACAGATGAAGCTCCAGAACTGGCTTCATTCGTACATACCATCTGGTCTGCAGCACGTTTGAGTGGTTCCTTTAGCTTCTTTAGACGCCTGCATGACTTCAAGTAGGTTCTTATTCGCTTTCTTGCTCTGTCTCGGAACTCTGGAAATTGTCTGTTGCATGACTGAATTATGGCTAAAATTTTCTCTTTGGGTTGCTTTGAGATTGGAACAAGTCTGTCAAGGTTTTCATCAACAAACAGCCTCACAAACATCTATGTAAAAAGTGACAAAAAAAAAGATTGTGCAGTTTAAACTTGGAAAAAAGACTGTGTATAGGGTTTGATGGGCCTTACATAGCTACAATGTAATCTCTACAGTTAATATTTCTTCCACCATTACTGCCGAATGCTGTAGGTCAAGTATACTGTAACTACAAATAATCTAAATGTGAATTGACTATTTGGGCACTGAACTACTATTTGTTGTAAAAATTAAATTTTGAAAAAAAACACTGATATTTGTACACAGTGTGTTAACGTTATGCCAATTAAAAGCTACTCTCTTTTTTGTAAAGAATAAGAAAGATGATAAGTTTTGAGCTTGGTATAAAAAGATGTTTTTAATCTAGTTTTTCTATACTCTCTTTTTTGATGTTGATATAATTTTATCAGATAAAACATTTTCATGATCAAAAGTCAAAAAGAGTTTTTCATTTTACAAAAACCTCAGAAATGAGAGTTCCTAATAGTTCCTGCTTGTTGTGCATTCTGGAATGTGAATTGGAATATAATGGATCCAAGTTTCAAATATATATAGAAACTGGGGGGCTGCATTTGTCATGGATATAGTAAGACAGTCTGGTTTTATCAACTTGATGATGTTTCAAGGGTTAGTTTTTTGTCAGAGTGCAAATTTCTTCTTAAAATAGTCTTGTAAGGCATGCTTAACTTGGTCCAGTTACAACTGATCTACACTTTAGTTGGAGAGGGCTGGCTTACATTGAAAGCTTTTAGTCTTTCTGGGTTGACATTAGCAGGGTCAGCTTTCTCTCCATCCCCATCTCCATCTTCCCCTTCTCCATCATCATCGTCTTCATCCTTTAGCCCCATTGACGCAGGTGAACTTGCACATTGAATAGGCTTCAACATTTCACAAAGGTTTGGTGGCTCCTTCAAAACAACAGAATTGACGGAAGAATAAAATTGTTAGAGTCTACTAATGGTTGAAACTGCTGTACAGCAGAGTCAATCATGTTCCACATCAGGGCTGTAGTCTAGCAGTGCCCGGTGGGCCCCTGGCACCTTACTTTTGCTCTTGGGCGACTCAGGAATCTTAACTTTTTCATAGAAAGCATAGGCTGGGCACCCTGGATTTCACAGTTTCAAAGCACTGGGCTCCCTTCAATTTGGACATACTGGGTGGTTTTTACAATGTTAGCCTTCTCTAAAAATTTTTGAGTAAAAAGGTCCACATTCAAAAATCCATAAGCGCCCTACCTTTGCAAAAGTTCCTTAGCCCGAGGTTAATCAAAATTGAGAGTCAGCTGGTAAAGTCTCCAAAACACACTTCCCAGGGTTAAACTTTAAAAAGCAACTTTGCAAAGTGTGGGTACTCAAGTATGGGAGTGATCCCTGTAGCAAAGAAGCCAGAAAAAGATTCAGGCTGCTTTGGGATTCCAACAGCATATACTTGCCAGAAACTAGTTGGACCCTACTACCAACTGAGCTACAAAGCCGCACACTGGGAACGAGGCACATTTTAGAGGATTCTTTTTTCCCCCAGTGAAATCTGATCTTGATTTTTAATAAAACCAATTTAATTTAATCGGGGAGCAGGGATGGTGCAGTGGTGAGAGCACTCGCCTCCCACCACTGTGGCCCGAGTTAGATTCCTGGACCTGGTGTTACATGTGGGTTGAGTTTGTTGTTGGTTCTTGTCCTTGCTCCGAGGGTTTCTCTCCGAGTCCTCAGGTTTTCCTCCCTCCACAAAAACCAATATTCCAAATTCCAATTCGATCTGGAAACAATGGACAATAAGAGCCACCCTGTAGATGTCCATTGCTAAATTATTTATTTATTTATATTTATATTATTTATTTTACCTGCCGATGTAAGTTAAGTAAAGCAATGATTCTTGTAGGTTAGCTGCAATTTAGCAAAATCATGATTTACAAACATATTTTTTCAGGTAGAGGTCAACTCACACGGACAACAGTCTTTTTCCAATTAACTTGCTCCAAAATTTACATTCTCACAGGACTCACCCTTATAATTTGATTTACAGCAGTGGCTGTATTATTCTCTGGAAGAGCTGGCGATGTGGCATCATACAGCTCATCATTCTCCTCGCTCTTTCCACTATCACTCCGAGTGTCTTCACTGGTTACACTGCGTCCATCTGTGGCTCGAGGACTATTTGCTCCATGGTTCAACACTCCTGAGCTGCTCATTGGAATGGATGCAATTGGAACTACATATGAAATTGGGATGGCTTCTGAAAAGAAAGAAAACCAACATGTTAGGTAACTTGAGTTGTCTCAACATTTGAGAAACCTCATAACAAAAACATTTTTAATGATAGGCAAATAAATCAATTTGCAGAGAAGTGACCAGCATCTAATTTCTCCTTACAATACAGGGCTCGAAATTGAAAAAAATTCCAAGTCGCCTTTTGGTGACTATCAGAGAAAAAATGGTCGCCAAGTGCAAAAATGCAGTCCCCAGATAGTACAAGAACAGAAATCAGATTAGAGCCTTATTCAATTGGCATTGTTGTTCAGCTTCTGGTGGATTATGGCTGCGATTGTGGGGTAGACCGAAATACTCTATCTTGAATGACTTAAAACATAAAAACACAAAAGAAGAAACTTTGAAAGACTTTTGCATGACAATCTTACCTTAAGCAGTAAGCGAAAAAAGTAATAAGAACATTTCAGGGCTACTTTAGCAAGGAAAATATGTCACATCACATGCAAGAAATCGTACGATACAAAGGCATCAAACATTTATCAAACATGGCGGATAAGCATTTAGTACCAGACCTCCTGTTCTCAACAGATTAATTTTAAATTCAGAAGCTTTTCAACAGAATATTGTGCCTGCGATCACCATGAAGAAGCCACTACAATATGTTGTCTTGGAAGATGCAATTTGAAAGCCATTTCAGGTTTTAGCTTAAAGGTAAACAGACTTAATTTGCATTTCTTTCGGCAGAAAAGCAGAAATGCAGAAATGAGACTTAAGAAATTTTTCTCATCTACAATCTTTTATTTATCAGAGGAAGTTAGTTTAGTCACCAAAGTGGCGACTAAACTCGAACTTTTAGTCGCCAAGTTAAAAGTTTTAGTCGCATTGGCAACCGTATCGGTCGCAATTTCGAGCCCTGCAATATCAGCCCTGAATCACGCATCCAGGTCATGAGAAAAACGGAAATGATCACCAGCTGAAGGAGTTCTTTGTTGACATTCTCCATATCAGCAGCTTAGGAAATCTAAAGAGAACAGTGTAGAGGACTTGCATACTGATGTTAGGGTCTAAAGCTTTAAAGCAAAACTGAACGAATGATTTCCCTAAATAATAATAAAAACATTTGAATGATAACAGCTTCTCACTTAACTTATAAATTATGACCTCTACTCAAATAAAGAAATGCAAGTCCTTTCCAGGACTTACAGTATCTTATTCAGACCATTACAAATCACACCTGGCCTTTACCCCTAAATACAAACCATTTTGTGCAAGATAAAGCAATTTTCAATTGATTGTCAGAAGTAATTCAAGATTGTGTTAGTTTTCCTTTAATTCACCTTATGATTGCTCCAGAAAACTTGAACTACTTTCTCAAGCAGTGAGATAAGAAGCTGAAGCCAATCATGACCTGATTGCCTGCATTTTCCCATGCTTTAGACAGTTTAGATGTTTTTACTTTGACCATTGTAACAACTTGGGTTTTGATTTTACAACATTACAACATAAAGGGTTCTATAATGATATTACTACACTTACCACTTGGATTCTGTGATGACATTTTAGTTGCAATGGTCAAATTATGCCTTGAAAGAAACTTCTCCACCCAACCACTAGAAGCTTTAAATTCAGGACACTCATCTCGAACAAGAAGTCTGGCTTGAGCTTGTATTGCATCCCTAGTAACAGGTGTGCCTTTGTCCTGCTGATGTAAAACCCACTGTAAAAGTTTCTCATCAGTTTCATTAGAATAGCTCAAGCGACGTCCACCCCCTCCAGGAGAGCGCTTTTCTTTTTTCATTGGTGGTCCATGTTTGCACCAAACTTGAACAGTTGAGCGTGGAACATTATACTTGCGAGAGGCTTCACGAACTGTGGTTTCTTTCGCATAATTTACAACTTCTTGTTTTTGGTCTGTGGAATAAGTTTGATAACCTGGTAGTAAGCCTTTAGCAGCCAAGCTTTCATCGCTTTGACAAAGGGCAGCTGTTGATGCAAAAATACACAATGAAAATCACTTCCGTGTAACTAAGTGATCCTGTGCTTGAAGATGGGGATGAGGGAGAGATGACTTTGTGATTTAAGAAAATTTAAAAAACGTTTATGAATCTTGAGGAAAATTAATATTGAGATTTTAAGACAAACATTGGAAATATCTGAAAAGCAAAATTGATAGGAGTTCTATGGATCTTTGTGTCCATGTGCAGTACATGGCCTCTGGCGACAAACAAAAAGCAGGTTTTAACTCTATTGAACAGTTTTCTTTGTCCTGTTTTCTGCAATGTGATAGACATTTTGCATGTGGATGAGATAATTTGGGACTTCATGTAGGAAAGGTCCTTGAGGTACATGAGACACTCAAGTGTACAGGGAATGTAATGAAAATAGAATGGGACATGGGATACTAGAGTCCTCCTCCCCTCCAAAGGACTGCCTCGTATATGGTGTGTAGCTAGTTCAGTACACATGTACACATGTAAGCTATTTAATTTTATTAATATCAAACTTCTTCTGACAATATCAATATCATGCCAGGCAAAAAGGTCATGAGAAAGGGGTTTCATCTCCTTTATATTATTATAAATTCCATTTATTAATTTACAGAGAAATATACAATCTTAAGAGCTGAAGCAGGAGGATCATGAGTTTGGTAAAAAATAAATTATTAACCTAAATGTACTCACCATCTCTGGTTAAATCATTGCCATGACCTCCATTCACTGCTGTGTCCATCATTTCATGTTCAGTACCTGGTGAACTCACTCCATTTCTGTTTCCATTCTCTTCAAACACTTCCTCTGTAATTTCCCTTTTAAACCTCTTCACACCATAATTACCCCCTTCATCATCTGAGTCATGGCTGGAAAATGATGCTTCTACATCTGATTCCTATTTAGGATTTAAAAAAATGACTTGTAAGGTAAGGTTCAGGGGACGAATTGCCTATAGAGGCATAGCATATCTAGGCAAGTTCAATTTTTCATTCAACCTCCAATTTATCATTTTCAGATACAATAGTTCAAAACGTGGACTTAACAAAATGGATTTTAAGAGGAAAAGACTAATATGAAAATTGCTGTCTCGTTTTTTTTTATCAAGCTTTATCACAATTTTGGCTCCAAGATTGAATAAAAAAGGTTAGTGATAATGCTCATGAAGGAAGGGCAGAAAGAAAAGATGAAAGTTTTATGTTCTTTCAAATCTTTATATTTGTTTTATTTACACTATATATGGCTTCGAATGATCTATCATTTGCCATTTCAATAACACAAATTGCATTGGGGAACAATGAACTTTACTGCCATTTTAACAAAATGACAAACCCTTTCACATTAAATCAAGGCCATTCTGTTATTTCAGCACTGAGACTTGTTTATCTCAACATGGTTACAATTCAATTATATTTTGATGAAAACTTTAATGCAGGGACACATTTGCAGGAAATGCAATTTTTATGAAAGCCTCAGTCTAAAATATATAATAAAAAAGAAATGCAATTTTTACGAAAGCCTCAGTCTAAAATATATAATAAAAAAGTTATAAAAAATTTTTGTATGTTTCCAACTCGAATAATTGGAATAGTCTATAATTCCTGGTCATTCAAATAGGAAAGAAAAAGTGTTAAAAAAATATAAAGCCTCTTAAAAAAAATTGGTATGGCAGTGCATCAAAATGTTATCAAGTTTATATATTTTTATCTTTAAGTCAAACTATTTTGTGTGTTATTACCATCTAAAGAAATGGCATTAAAACAGAATTGGAAATTTCAAAGATAGCTGTAAGTAAACAAAATGCACTTTGATAAAAAGAAGAACACTCCGTGGAGAGCTTTGGAGTAGATGGAATTCTGTGAATTTTTTCCTCTCTACTAGGACTTTGGAAGCTAACCCAGAAGTGGATTTCTTGTAATAATATTGTCTTGTATTACTATGTCTTACGGGGATGATCCAGCACAAAACTATCTTTTACTTGGATTATGAAAGAAGAACAGATGGTACAAGGACATGAAATTTCACATCATTAAAAGCAAGAAAGAGGCTAGACCGATCGAGACCCTCCAATGCACCCTCTCACACCCAAATTTTTGTGAACGCAGTCTAAAGGGTGCCATGCAAGGCTTCTACGACCAAAATATACACGCTTAATCGTCCCGCTATCATCCAAACAACAGGCAACCATCTGCCTCGAGCGATGTTAAATCTTCTGTTTACTTGAGGTGTCTGGGAACCGCTATGTGCTCTTTCTCCAAACAATTAATATGCTGAAAATCTTCTATGACAACAACTTCCTCTAGCACGAAGCCTTCGCTTACGTGATCAACCTGAAACCGTTCGCATCACGAACCACGGGAAAACCTCGACAAAAATTAGAGAAATCTTTCCAAATAGGATAGCACAACAGTCAGCAGTACTGCGATAAGACATGACTTGGCTAATTACCTCACTTTTGCTATATTTCGTGCATGAATATTTCATGTCCTTCGAGGGAGAAAACAGGCCAAATATAACGCTTCCTTCTACCGATCACGCGTAAAAAATTCTTAACGGCGTAAATTTCCAGCGAGAAACCTTAATTCCGAAGTAAACACCGCTATCAGAGAAACTGCATAAAAGCGAAGGCCATCTGGCCGGCAAATTAGAACGTGGACCTCTCATTGTTTTCTCTTTGCAGATTCAAAGGACAAGGGGTGTCATCTGCCGAAAATCGCAAACGCAATCCAACTACTGATCCTTCCTGGATGAAGCGATTCTCTATGGCAGAAATCGATTCAAAATTCGTTTTCATTTTCTGTCCCATAAAGAAAACAAGAGAGGTTTGGAACTAAGAGCTTTCGAACCTATTGCCGTTCAAGGAAGTCGAAGGGACGCTCATTTGCGTTTACCCCCAATACCTTCGAACAACAAAGCCGGCGCGATGGTCGATTTCCTTTCGCTTCACTTCGGACAAAAGATCGTTCTAGCCGACATCTAGATGAAACAAGAGAAATTTAAGACAACCTTTACAATCGGCAAATTGTCAAGTTACCTTTAGAATGTGGTCTGACTTGACCTTCGCGATGGCTGCAAGAGCTTTGGCGGACATCTTCAATGGACTAGACAACGCCACAGAGAGACGAGGGGTACAAACAAGCCTTTAACTTTCGCCGCACCCAAGCGCTTCTAGCAACTCACTCTACTGAAAGTTCGCTAATCCTTTAAAATTTTCCTTCCCTCGGTATCGCCTCTGACGGGTTTTGACCGAACCCGTTCAAAATCGTATGGTGCAACGCCAAATTTGCCGAAGTTAATCCAGGAGGCACCGGGAAATAATGGGCCAGAATTTTCACTCAAATTTTTGGCCTTTGTTGTCAGGCTCAGCAGCTGATAGCGCAAGCTGATCACGTGGGACAACCAAAACCGATAGCGGTCGTACGCGTGCTCATTCAGATTTTCGTTGACCAAAAATATCGCTGTGATCCTTTTCTCCGAGGAATGAGTATTTTTCTTTTCTAAGTCTTTGTAATTTCTGGAAAATTTTCGCTAACTAGCACTTTCTGAAGGGGAAGGCATTGCAATTATCAGTACAATGCAATACTTCCATTTCGAAGGCTGAGAGGATCTGGTAAGTTCGAGCAATTTGAATTGAAAATTCCGGAATTGTAATGCCAAAAAGGTTTACCCCAAGTTTTGCTTCGAATGGAAATTAGTTTTAACGGAAATTTTCCCTTTCAATTGCTCTTCTTCAAAAGCAACTAAATTCTTTTTTTAAATACCATTTCTACATTTGCATTTTTATCAGTAATTCGTATTAAAATATAAATAGTCGCTTGCGAATTCCTCAAATGTTTGTTCAAAATATGCAAATTTTTCAGTCATGCCTCGAAGACTTCACGTGTCTGTCATTGAATGTGATCTTATTTAATAGAGTCAGTATTGTGACCTGAAACTATCAAAACCCCATTGTTCTGTAAGCTTTTTCACACCCCAAGTATCTGGTAAACGTACACTAAAAGATGGTCATGAAGCCTTGAAGATTTCTAAAGGCCGCTGATGAATAAGATGAATCTTCAGTTAGTCAAAAGAAGTGTTTCAAAAGGAAAGCCTCCGTTTCTCCACGGTGCCTGTTTATATACTGTGGGCCTTTTTTCCTTTTTTTTTTTTCTTTTTTTTTCACAAAATACTCTGCAGTAGCCTGCGAGTCAGTAGAGAAACAAAGATTCTTAACTTTTACCAATAGGTCTCTATGGAACGCTCAATTAGCAATGCTAATATTTGACAAATTTAGAAAGAGCAATATCACTGTGGCGTGCCAGCAATGTGAAATACAAATTGGACACCTGGAGAGCCAGAACTGTGAAACTCAATTAAAACCCCGACAGTCTTTCCCAGGCCTTAGAGTGCGCGACTGTCATCCGATTCTGACGAAAGGGCTAACGCTCGAAACGTCAGCTTTTTTACTCGTTACGGTGGCCAATTTACAATTTCAACTTAGTTGATATAACCAAATTACCTTATTACCCCCACCGGCGCAGCACCACAGTTTCTTTAGAAACTTTCACCCTTAACCCAGTAACCATACTCGAGGGGACCTTAAGGAGCCAACACTGAAAAATTTTCTCAGAATCTTACCATAGAAGAGACGATAAATCAGATAAACATGGTTGCACCGTATCCAGACATTGATTACAACACATGCTAGAGCGGTAGCAATGAATAATGGGGTCTTGCTAGGGTAAATTCGAACACGAAACATATCCTAGAAAAGTAGAGACAGTACTTGGGGAAAAATCTAGACAAAAGAGGGCCATTGTCGACAAGATTCCCTCAACGAACTGTTCGATCGGGTACAGGAGCCCATTACTCCTGATCGGGTATAAAGGAAGAAGTTAATTTCAATGCGTAGAAAAATTGTGTAATAAGGGGAAGGAAATCTGTCACTAGCCATTTGAAGCGACAAATTCAAAATTGGAGAGGTTACTCGGGAATGTTGCTCTCTTTTAGACTTTATCTCTCTCCCTCTCTCGTGGTGACATGTTTCACGGTGGTGAGGGATTTAATACTTTTACTTTTCTGTTAATAGAAGTTTCAACTGTATTCCCCTTAGAACCCGTAGTTTAAGTAACACAGTGAGCCTCTGCAGTGCCTTCTGCGCGAGTAACGAAGCTACGTCCGCATGGCACTCACGGCTGCGTGTTTGTACTATGTTGGCGTAAGCTTGAGAGAACGTGTTATTTCTGACCTTGAAAAAGCGGGTTTATCTGAGAACCTATCGTGATAATTTGAGCCTTGGAAGTTCTCGCCTTCGGTTAAGGTAGTAATCAATCAGAATCTTACTTGCTAATATCAAGACATACGGTATTTGTTAACACTTGGTCGTCTGGAAATTTCAAAACTCACCAGATCAGATGCGGGAGACTCCCGGCCCTGCAAAGATAAAAAAGGTTGCAGTGTTTGAATTTCTTTCGCACAGTGTCACTGTAGATGGGTAAAACAATTTTTATTTAAGTGTTGTAAGTAATCCTATTTTGTATTGGATTTAGTAAATTAATGATGATTAATAAATTAATGATAATTGATCAATTCTTGACCAATTCTTGACCAATCAGACGAAACCTTGTCACTGCAGATGTGTTTTGCGTTCTCACTGGCTGCTTGGTACAAGTTTTAATTTTCCTAGTAATTCTTCTTAAACATTAGTGTCTCTAGAATTTCTCTCCACCAAAGCAACACTGCATGTCGCAAACTTAAAAAAAAAAGTTGTTTCTTACGTGAAATCAGCACCTCGGCTCTCTTTGAAATAAACGAATGCTTCCCTGATAGTCGATTGATTCAGCAATGGTTCCTCCCTTAAGCCCTGGTCAAACGGCGCATGATAGTCGATGATAGTTGATGATAGTCGATGATAGTTGAAGCGCGTGCTTCCGTTTGACCACCAACTATCATGCACTATCATCGACTATCACCAACAATCATTCATTTTGAGCTTGTTCAAATTCTTCATGGTCGATGATAGTTTTTCTCGTTTGACCACGCGTATGATAGTTCATGATAGTTTTTGGTCAACTGTTTTCCCCGAAAAACGGCGGGCTCGTTTAAAATGGCCGCCAAAAGCTTCTCGCGAGGCTCAGTTTCAGCTTCAGAAGTTCGTTTTTATACCCAAGATATTAATAATGAGAAAGAAAATGTTGCCGGAAAACCAAGAATCTGGAGAAAGCGTCAACTGGCAGGAATTCGAAGAGACACCGCCGAAAAAACAGCGTTTCACTAAACGTTCAACGGCGAGATGGAGTAATGACCTGATATTACGTCTAATAGACGAATAAGAGGCCCGGCCCTGCCTTTGGGACATTTTTTCGAATGATTACCACAACAGAGATGTCACAGGCTGCTCGCGTGACTTTGCTCGCGCGACTGCCGGTGAACTATCATCAACTATCGCGATCTTTTTTGGCCGTTTGACCATGCAAATAATAGTTGGTGATAGTTGATGATAGTTTGAAGAGAATCAACTATCATCGACTATCATGCGCCGTTTGACCAAGGCTTTACCATATTCATTCCAGCAGTAAACCTTATTCTCGCATAGCTAACAATCCTACGATTTACTCCGACAAACAGCTAACAAACAACAATTGATGAGCTTTCAAAAACTGCTCACGCGGTTTATCTACTTTCAGAGCGCTTGTCCATTGAGTGTCGTTGAACAAAAACCAAAGTAATCGCAACGGCTAGTCAGGAAAAGGGGAAATGCCCTGAAGAGCCAATCAGAACTCAAATTAAAAACAAGTAAACTGCCAAAAGCGCGGGAAAAAGTAAGCGACCAGGTTGTGATTGGTCCCGTTGGTTTTGCACCTAATTGGTTTGAGAGTGGTGCGAGTTTCCTGAACCAATCACTCAGCGGAGAAGAGGAAAACTAATGTAGTCCTAGTTTAATCGAAAATTGCTCTATCAGCGTAAAGCTGATAACCAACAAATTGGTTTATTTTCATACCGACGCACGCACAGCATGACAGTTTTTAATATTAACCTCCTACACACTTACTAAGTCAGACACAGGAGACAGCGGTCTTCCGTGCTTCAAGAGAATTGAGTTAAACCGCTGGATTCTCTGTTTGCACGTGCTGCAGCTCATCAGATAGTAAGACACTGCCTCACGTGGGAGGAATGCGTAAGTGTTTGCAACCTAAAACAGGAAGGAATTATTTTTTTATTTACATCGGTTCTAACACTTGAAAGAAATTATTGGTGATGGCCTTGGGGTCTGGCCTTGGAAGATCTTGTAACGATATTAATCAACATCCTATACGGATAAAATTTGCAGTTCTTTGTTTTGCCGATAACAGCCCTGTAGGTATGGGAGAGAGTCGATCAGACAAAGTTGAGGTTTTACTGAAACAACTGATTTATTAGATAGATGTTATGAAATACTGGAGTTTATCCTGTCTTAACTTTCATTTAGTGCGAAACTGTGCCAGGATATTTGCTCAAGAACGAACAAGCTCGGTCAATAAAGGATTAATTATAGGGCAAAAAGATTTCGCTCAAATAAGAATAAAAAATTACTTGCTTATTTCGTGGGCAGGAAAAGAAAGCCAACTGTGTTTGTGGCACAACAAACCCACAAGAGTCGTTTATGTTCTCTTTGTTTTGACTATCTTTTGCTGCTTTTTTGCGACTCCATCGGCGACGTCGCTCAAAAGTTTAGAACTTAGAGTTTCCTTCACGAATTCCTTTTTTCTTGCGCGGGATCAAAGCGGGCAGACCCGGGTGGGTGAGATGGGCTCATCAGCCGACCATATCACAGGATTCGCTAACGGGGACTGCTTGCAGTATGATAAGTGAAGATAATGCCTTGAGAAATATCACCGGGGTAGATGGTAGATTCGATCACTTGGCGCGTTCGGACCAATCGCATGCGCGCAACTCTATTTGATGGATTGTAAGCCATAATGTGTTCACATGACACGTCGTGAACTACTCTCTATGTCTTTAGATGTGAAGATGGTAAAATAATTACTTACTTAGAATCGCATTGCTCATCCTTACGGTGCGAAATTTCACGCGTCCTCCTTGAAATTAACGGATTCTTCCTTATTAGGTAAATTGTGATTTTCTAAAAGACCAGCTTTGTGATCTGGCAGTTTTTTCATCGTTCGAGTTAAGAGATAAACATTTTATCTGTATAAAACATCAGTGAGCATTTCTCAAGGCAGGATGAAAAATAGCGGAACACATTTCATTGGTATTAGAAGGAATTGGTATGCAAGAAAGGAGGGGTGCTCTCATGAACCAACATGGAGAACCCAAGTGATTTCAAAATTTAAGCGCCAAGGAGTTAAAGAGCCAATACGTGAAGTTTAACTGAAATCCCAGCGTAGATTCTCTATTATTGAAATTACTTTAGTTGGTAGCCTAGTTTTTGAGAAAGCCTCCTTCATGTATCACTCGATGCGCCATCAACCGCTTTCCTCGGCGTGTACACTCTCCTTAATCTTTTGACGATAATTAGTTTATCGAACGTTAATACAGTTATGCCTCTCTCTACCTAATAACCATCTATGTTTCTTTTAAGGTCTTTTAATCAAGATCCCTGTATGACAACACAATTTCTGTTACTCCTTGAGCTATAACAGTTTACTTAATACTGGACGAAACTCTAGCGCATAAAGCGCATAACGGAAAGTCAGTACCACAGAAGGTGTGGTAGCTTTGAGATGGCCCTGCGTTTTTCTATATATAGTAACATTGCACGCATGCGCAACAAGCTGCATTAGGGCCACAACGCGTAAATTGAGCTTGTTTATAATTGTTACCTGACTTCCTGGACTCTCCTTGACTTATTCTATATGAATACTCAGCTACCTGTGCAAAATTGGAATAAAATTCAACAAGTGGAGTCCGGCTTTTAGTCTTGCCGGTTATATTATCAGAAATCGTAGCTAAGCCGTGGGAGCTGCGGGAGGATGACTGCGCACGGTCGGGGAAATGAGCTCAAGGCTCAAGTTTTTAGATAAAAAAAACTTTTGCTTTCTATTTGGCTCTAGGAAGAATACGGGACACGAGAACGTCGTGTTGCCTTAGTGGATATGATTCCTAAATTGATTACTAAATTGCTTATTCTGTTTTCAAGGGTGGATGGAAACGGAATTTTTTGTATACCCAACAGCGATAAACTGCCTCTAAGTGTGCCTCTCAGACTTTAAGCTAAAGTAGAAAAAAAATGTTGTCCAAAAATCCTTCACTGTGACGGGTGAGGATTCACCGAAAGCTGATTTTTTTTTTTTTGAAGTTTTCAAAAATGCGTGGAAGGCGCGATTTCATTACATCTATGGTTTGCACACATGGACGAATTCTTGAAATATTCTTGAATCATAAAACAATAATGAAAGTTGTTCGATCAAGTGGCTGGCATTGATAGAGGTTCAGCAATTGATCAGAAAGTCCTCAGCATGCTAGTATGAAGTCCTTGCACAACGACAATTTACCACTTACTGGGACAAAGGCCTACAGTAGTGAGATAGAATAAATATATGAAAATCATATATTTTGAACTGCGGTATTTGATACGTATGATGCACGATCCTCGCAGTAGATAGCGCTATTTAAGCAATAGCGAAAATCAGACCTGAAAAAAATCAGGCCTGTACGGGACTCGAACCACTGACCTCTGCGATACTAGTGCAGCGCTCTACCAATTGAGCTAACAAGCCAACTGAGAGCAGGCCGTTAAGTTGATTCGTAATGAACCCGTGAAAGTGATAAATGAGATAGAATAAATATATGAAAATCATATATTTTGAACTGCGGTATTTGATACGTATGATGCACGATCCTCGCAGTAGATAGCGCTATTTAAGCAATAGCGAAAATCAGACCTGAAAAAAATCAGGCCTGTACGGGACTCGAACCACTGACCTCTGCGATACTAGTGCAGCGCTCTACCAATTGAGCTAACAAGCCAACTG